CTTCACCCACGCCTAAGACATCTATCTTGAACTGCATTGTACTCATCAGGCAAATAGCGTAGAAGTGGCGCCTGCGGAAAACACCCGTGACCCTGCAGGAGTTTCAAGCTATGCCTGAAGGCTTAAGCCAGGAAACGTGATAGTGGTGATTTTACGAAGATTGCATGAGACGCCGGCATGATATGGCACCTAACCTAATTTTGTGTAATGACGGACGACGGCAAACGCCTGCGACATATTCATCTTGAGCATCACGAACTTATGCCGAAGGCACCCTAAGCAAGCACTCTGAAGAACCGAGGCTACAAACAGACATTAAGTAGCTTTAGATACTAGAGTCTGCTGTATGATGTCCCAAATATCTCCATACGCCTGCTATGCATGGTAGCGAATAATGCTGCCATTTACAATATGAATCAAAGCTGTTCAGTGTGTAATGTGGAAGACGACCAATGGGCAAAACAAATCGACATGAAGGTGAAACACAGCATAAACGTAGGCTAAATACAAATCAATTCTGAAGAATAGGAGAGAACGTTGACATTGTTTGCCCATGAAAGGCTTTGGTTCCCTTGCTCTCTCACCCCCCCCCCCCCCCCCCCGTCCCTAAACTTACAATCGCTGAGACTTCGATCCAGGTCAGCAAGCCAATGCAAGGAACCTTGTGAGGTTTATGGAGGAAGTCAGTTTTTGGTATCCGGTTGTGGCAGGATGTGCTTTTTATTTCAAATCGCTGCACGGCCTGTTGTGGTCAATGTTGTAAGGCCGATGTGATCAAGCCAAAACCTCGTTGATCATTCCTAATAAAAAGAAAAGGCATGAAAGCTTTATGCCAGTTACGCACGCTCTTTCTCTGAATGCTCATGACCAAGGCACATCGTAGCAATGTTTGAAAGCACTGAACATATCGTTTTTCATAGACAAGACAGAAAAATTGCCTCATTCCTTGGAAATACCCAGGATACTAGATGTACGCATGCGTTAATGCTTCGGCTTATGCCTTTGTTGAAACGAAACGCAGAAGTGAGTTAAGTTTTAATTCGCTGCTTTTCTTCGCTTCGATAAAGGCATGTTGCCGCAATATCAACGCATCTAGATCTCCATTGTCCTGGTTTTCCCTGAGGAAAAAACTGTTACTACCGTCTTATCTATGACATAATGCTCCTCGCCAATACACCTAACAACTCACATTTCATGTTTCAGTGTCCTTTACAGCTTGATTTGCGACTGTCTGATCAAGTGAATGTCTTACATCTAACATCGCACAGTTCCAAACTTGTTTTGACATTTATACGGGGTTTTGAACTGAAATAGTCATCTTGATCACTTTTGACCAACCTACCCTGTTCACCACCCTGCCCTTCTTAAGACCTATGCCCATCTAGTTTTTGAGTTACATGCCCACGAAAATGGGGAGAGTATTTCAAGGAAAATGTTTCAAAGTCACCTTAGTATTCATGACGTCATAATAATGCCATTCAAATTCTGCTTTTTCTTAAGCTTTGCAGCGACCAAAGCCACAAAAGGAATTGTCGAAGCGTTCATATCAGGCGTTCGTGAGCACGATTTCCAGATATGACGGGCATCAATCGGCGTTAAATCAATATTTTGCAAGATACGATCACGTAGTCAAAACAGGACGCATTGAGGAGCATATTTAGTAAACGGAAAATTATGCTGTCTAGAGAAGTCTTTAAAGTGTACCAATAGTCATAACTGAGTTTGTTCCATCATATCTAATCCTTGATTCATTTTCTCCAAATGTGAAACATTCGCTTTAACTGCACTAGAAGGGGTGCGCACGGTAATTCTCATGACGACGGTGGTCGTGACTGCACGGAAGAAGCGTAAAGCTCTTACAAAGCGTTAGACAGCATAATTTGGACTTCAAAATAATTAAAATTGAGATGCTTATTATATCCTGACGGTGCTGCAGTGGCACTAGCCGGTGTTTTATTAGACGTAACTAGTCCTAAGGTTTGACTAGAATATGCCTTTGAAATGCGCCCGAAAGGTAGGATACTCCCTTTTAAAGTGTGTAGGCTGTGAAAAGTCTGTAACCTCTGCAAGTACTGTAAGCAAGCTCTGTAAGTGTTGTAAGCAAGCTCTGTAAGTGTTGTAAGCAAGCTCTGTAAGTACTCGATACCTATGAACTGGGACGCTACAGCGACATGAGAGTTTGATTTGTCGCGTTTAGGTCATTTGACTGTATAGCATTTACTGACACATGTAGCCGACATTGCGTCATTATGTTTTAAATATCCTTAACCAAAACCGTAGCTTTCCCACCGTTTGCCCGATCTATCCCATTGTTCGTTTGACATCAGTAGTTATACTTAAATCCGACCGGCGAAGTTCTATAGAACGAGTCACGTTTCACGAAATACAAGTTGTCGTGAGGAGATGGTCCAGCTGCCGCGGAGCACGGTGTTTCTCAGAACGGTATCAGTTCCTTGCTTGTGGTAAGTGGAGTTGTCTGCCTGACTGCCGGCACTTGCGCAGTTAGGAGACGACGTGACGCGGCTAATGCCACCGTTGAGCCGATGCTTTCTCAGTTTTTTTGTTTTCACTTCAGTCACATGCTGTAAGATAAGAGCAAAGAACATACTTGGCGGGCTCATTCAGTGTCACCGTCCGGACGGCTTTGTGTTAACTTTTTATAGCCGGTCGTCAGGTGGTTTTGCGGACCTGGTGATTTCATGTCTGGCCTAACACTGAGCTCATTTTGTGGCTCCTTTCAGGGCTGCCAGATTATGGACTCCGTCGCTCGGGGATCGACATCTTTGCATGCCTACAAGTCGTCCTGGAACACAGGGGAGAATCGCCATCGTTTCCTGCTCGGCAAGTTGTTGCCATGCCAGGACAGGACCCATGCAGCTGAATCCTAGGCCAAATTACAATATTCATGCTCACAGAACAGCTGCATTGCGCACACTGTGACGATAGGTCAAACCAAGCATGAGGGGTGATATGACGCGCGGTCTACCCATTGATCGGAATTCATCAGTGTGCGAGTTTCTGGGCAAATTTTTGCCTCCCTTTTTCCCGGCCTAGCTTCCGAACAAATGCCAATTCGACTTGAAATTTTCATTGCCTTCACAAGAGGATCAGACCACCATGTGGTGAGCCAGTTCTTGCAAGAAAATGTCGAAATGTCTTCATTTATGCCAAGGTGGGCACTCAATTTATAGATCTATAGTTTTTCTTGGTTTTCCTGGATATAGGATGCTCCTGCTTCTCGTGGCACATGGCTTAAATGCACGGACTGGTGCATGCAGGTCACTCCGGACACCTGCTAGGTCATCGCAGGTGAATAATTACATTCGCAATTTGTCTACCGTAGTAATAAACACGGTTCGAACATGAAATTTCGCTATCTGCATCAGGCATAGCCTTGAGCCTATGCGCTTTCTCATAGTCATGCCACAGTCCAGCATTTTAACAGCTATGTCCTTATTGCTCACATCGCGGGCAAACTTCGACCACGAAGCATGCGTAGCATTGATAAATATTATCATAGCATTATAGTTGGTTAAAAGCTTCATAACGCAATGGTGCCAAAGATCATTTGTCTCCAATAGCTCGACTTGTCCAGCCTGGCTGACAATGACAATGGCAGCAGGGCATATCTCTCTTTTAGCGCTGAAACTGTTTTTACGCACAAATGACAAGTGGTCGTAAATTTATCTAACACTTCGTTTGGCCTGATCTTTGGCGTAATGAGTGACCTCAGGTCGACAATAGAAACATTCATGGTAGGAAATCGGACCTGTGAGATCAATTCATGATCAGAGCGGGGGGGGGGGGGGGGGCAAAACGTTCCCCGTGTGACTCGCTGGAGTCAGGGTGTCCCAGGTGATGTCGGGTTGGAGGGCTAAAAGTGACAATTCTTCCCCTCGACGCGAAATTCCCGGAGATGCAGATGCATCATAAGTCGCATCAGACATCCCCGTTTCCGTTGCTCCAGGCCGTGTGACGCGTTGCCGTTGCCCCAGACCGTGCGATGCGTCGCCGTTGCACCAGGCCGTGTGATGCGTTGCCGTTGCACCAGGCTGTGTGACGCTCGCACGTCGTACGGACGGTGAGCATGACATGCCGGGTCAAGTCCAACCTGGACGGAACGTACCGCGTGGCGCGGCTGCCGCCGACCTCTGGTCGCCCAGAGGCGGTAGCCGCGGAGACAACGGATCCACTTCGGAGGCGCGGTGGCGTGCCAACAACCTGATACGGACGCCGCTCCGCCCGTCATGGATGTCTGTGAGAGCTGGGGGGGCGGGGGGGGGGGGGGGGGGAGAAGAAACACGGCCGCTGAGCTCGATGCAACTGCGAGGTCGAAACCAGGACTGGTGATATGGAAAGGTAGATGCCGACTTATTTTGAGGGTGAAAAGGAATGGCTGACGATTTTCAACAGGTGATCCATGCAATGATGTACAGCAGGCAAGCGCACTCCTTGTTCTTCTTTCGGACTCGGTTGAGCCCGGCAACAGGTTATCGTCGGCGACATCCTGCAGAGAGCTGTACACCTGACGGGCATTTGCTCATTAACCAACGCTTACTTGGTGGAAAACATGGCGCAAGCAGTGTCGACACAGCGACTTGCCAAACGAGTTGTTGAGAAGCCGTGGACGACCATGTTAAAAAACACGCCGCGATCTCAGTATTTTCTGAGCATTTGTGACGTTACACAAACATACGGGCACGTACAAGGCAAGCGTTCGACTGGATATGCGCGGTGCTGGCACCCAGATAAGCCCATGCGCCCAGGCAGCATGCATGAATAACTCCGTCCGCCGACGCCTCGACGGGCGCTGTTATCTCCAAACCGAACGCTCTATTGCCGATCAGCCGTGCAGTGGCGCAGTGCGATGGCCTCGGTGCAGTTTAAATTTAGTTTTTGCTCTGCCGACGTGCTCGGCAACAAACGCCCGTCTGGCGCGGCGGCTGGCCGGCCGGGCTCCGCCGTGCCGCTGCATCAGTGCCGACCGCTCGCGGGTCCGAGAGGAGCCGCGGGGATCCGCGCCCAGCCGCGGGGCCGCCGGCAGACCTGGCGGGGTCTGGGCCGAGCCGGGCCTCGCTGAAGCAGTGAGCCGAACCGAGCGACTGCGTCGCCTGGGCCGTCCTTCAGGTCTGTCGAGATCGCGGAGATATCATCAGCGTGCCGCTGGTGAGCAGAATGCTCGTCTCCTAGACGTGCTATTGTTGTCGCTCGAACCCGTCGTAAATACGTTAGATAGCCAAAATTGTTATCAATTTTTTCCAGTCTAGTGAGTTCATTCGATCCTTATCGTGAGTAGGATGTTGGTGCGGTCGTGCTAGTTAAAAACGGGAAATTTCCGGCGCTGCTGTTACCCGAATTGGTGGTCAATTCGCCGTAACAGCACGTAAATGTGAGGTGATTCCCTAAGCTGAACATGGGCTTTGGTTTACACCGAGTTATTGAGTCTTAATGAAACGCACTGATGTGCACCAAGTGAAGTTAAGCTCAACGGGCCTCTGGACCGCTTGATTTTTTGCCCAATGTATGTGACGGATCCAAAATTGCTATGAAAGATAATTCTTGGTCAACTCGTCTGTCTACATATTAATCTTAAGTTTTCATATACATGTAGCGTCGCGGTCTCACCTCGCAGGGCAGGTGGTGGGCTTCCTATCCACCTCTGTTTCCTTCCCCGTACCAACAAGATGGCGTCGTCGATACCTGCCACGGCCGCGACGGTGGAGAGGCTTGGCATCAACGTGGACGAGCTGGTGCGGCGCTTCTCGGCGCTTGACTATGCCGTGTTCGGGCTGCTCCTCCTGCTCTCGCTGGGCATTGGTGTCTACTTTGGCGTCTGCAAGGGCCACGAGATGAAAGACAACACGGGTTACCTGCTGGGAGGTCGTCAGATGGGCACCGTGCCCGCCGCCATGTCCCTCATCGCCAGGTGAGAGCTCCTTGCCATTGCACCAAGTCCCGCAGTTAGTCGACGATGAGGGTAATAGGACCACAGCGCTCACCCACTATCCCATCGCCTGGGAAAGCTTTTGGAGTCCATGGTTGGTAACGCCCGTCCCGCACTAGTCTTGATAATGTTCTTCCCCCGGGGTCCTGTGCTACTGTATTGGTCGTGCCACCCGGTCAGCCGACGGCACGGGATTTTTGTTTCCTTTTAATGACCTCATCGCCCCATAGTGGTAACAAATGTTGATTAACACTTTGACCAACTGAATGTCAAGCGTCGGCGTTGCTGTTTTGGTCACACTGATGACTAGATTATTCTTCAAAACAGACGGCCACAACAGATGATCAGTGGTATGTGAAGCACATTGCTCTAAAGATGTTGGGATGGTAGCTCCGTGTACTTGGCAGAACTATTCGCTCTGCTATTCTTACATAACATCTGACATTTGTCTTGTTCCAATGCCGTTTTCCCGGGAATGGGTTCCTAGTTATTGGTTCCAGAAGCAGGAAGAACTCGGGTAGTAGTCTGAAATCAAGCCAAGGTAACCATGGAGAACCAGCTTTCATCCTGACATAAGGCCAAAAGATCCCGCAGCACGCAAACTCTTGCCTGATAACAAGCTGGCAAACCGCCCCCCCCCCCAAAAAAAAACAATCCAGCCCGATACAAGGCTACATGGTGGTTTCAACCAGTGAAAGCCAAGATCGGGTCTAGAATACACCAAGGGATTCAACGAGACAAGATCTAGCCCGACATAATGCCGAGGAATCCAGGAAAAGCAATCTTCATTCTGGGATGATGTCAAAGGAACTAACAAGAACGAGAATTTGATCTGAAAGAGTTTTCTACCTTGCCTTTTCCAGGTCTAGCGAGGTGTTCCTCACAGAAGTTAATTAAAACTGGGTACATTCCTTCTCCCCGGTCCGTGCAGTGTTAAGTTTGTTTTGTGGTCTGACTTCATACGCCTTGGCGTTATCGATCGCCATGGTAATTTTATAATTCGGATCTGCCGTTCGTGAGATAAGCAAGAGAGGTGGGCTGGAATTTGCCCCCCCCCCCCCCCCTCCCCTCCTTCCAGTCGATGGTTTTGCACCGAGAAGGCCGGTCAATGGCTGGTTATTTTTCGGAAAGATATGTCCATTTTCTGCCCAGCCCTGCCGAATGAGCTTTGGCGGAAATATGTCACGGTTGAAGAATGGTACAAGGGTAAAGCGCTTTTGCGTAAATTTGGTTGTTTTCGGCTCTCAGGTTAGCTTGCATCCATGTTTTCAACGCACACGTTTTGCACTTGTGGCCTTACCTTTCTCCCATGGTGGATGGCATGGAGCAAGACCGGAAGACACGCACTCAGACGCGCAAAATAAATCCATTGGGGGATCAAACGCACGATCCGAATGTACCATTGTCCTTTCAGCGTAGGGGGGTGGGTAATGCTTCAGAGTAATCACATTTCTAAAAAACCCACACTTGCGACTAGAATAGATTAAGAATTAGCCCAATGATTGAAGAAGCGTAGGGCATGGGATTGACAATACATCCAGCATCGCCCTGCCTCCTCAGCACATCCAACAATCGCTATCATGGATGTGGTGTTTTGACACACATGCGTCATGATACCACCGGCATTAGGGTACCAAACTGGCCTACGGGTTGTCGACTGCCTACGCCTTTTCTGTCGTATACGTTCACGAGTTTGCATGATTATACCGCAACCATTTATTTTCCTAAGTTAACAGGGCTAGTATTTAGCCGGCAAAACGAAAGGATGGCCAGCCCTCTCAAACTCCTTTGAGTGCTGGCGTTTAGGCCGGCGCCAGATTAGCTACTGGCCAGCTAAGAAAAGAACAGCTTGTACGCTTCGCAGCTGTTGGCGCGGTGCATATGGGTGGGCTGAACTCTCGCGTTGCTGTACTCGTGCCAGACTTCTAAATCGGGGTGTTGCAGTGGGCCGTGTAGTGGCCCGAGTGCGCCACACCAGAATGGTGCTCCACGCCGGACAGCTCGTAAATCCAGCCTCTCGGAACGGCACAGTATGGCGACAGGTCCAGAACACCGGCGGAGAAGTCCTCAGTTGCATAAAGCTTGTGCCCGTTGTGATCCAGCTGCAGCAAGAACCGCTTCAGGTGCACTACAGGGATGCGTGGGAACCTCTGAATCTTGAAGGCTTTGGATCACCTTTGACCCTTCTAGCACATGAAGCACGTCGGTTTTCCTTCTCCACCAAGCATCTCTTCCTTGGCAAAAAGGCCAAAGCAGTCCTGCAAGCGCACCTGGCCCGCTATCGATGGGGTCGGTAGGCTCAGGTCCCAGAAGGGGTCAAGCGTCAGGGACGCGTGGACGCAAACCGTGCGCCGCAGCGTGGACTTGAGCTGTCCGACAAACAGGTCAACAACACTCGAGTTCTTCAGCAGCAGGAAGCGCTTGCAGGCCCCCAGCGGTTTCTGACTAGCACTAAGGCTGCCATCAAAGTGGGTAGGTTTGGGCTCGGGCTGGTTTCCAACACGGTTCACGTCCTCGCGCAAGCCCTCCATCAGGTATATGAGGAACTCTCGTGCGTCCTGCTGCTGATGACCGGTGAATCGGGCGGCAGGCTGCTGGAATTCGACCTTCAACGGGGAGATGGTCAGCGCCCGGTCGGTCACATCTGGGTTCTTCCATAGGTACCACACTAGCGTGACAAATGCTCTGATGAAAGCACGCTCCATGGCGGAGGTGGTCGTGTCGAGCTCTCCCAAGTACTCGTCTCGAAGGATGTAGTCATGCAGCGCACGGGTGTTGCTCAGACATTACACCCACGCGTTCACGAAGCTCGTATTGCCGATGTTCTGGAGTTCCGCAAGACCGAGCGGCCGTGTCGCGGCCGCACCCTACCGCCATCTTCGCCCAGGTCAATGACATCCGAGCAGCTCGGCCGGGAGGCGGCAGGGCCTGGGCAGACGACCGGGCAGAGCTGCCCCGGTTCCGCTGCTCAGTGCGCGGCCGCTTGGCTTGTTGCTTGTTACTTCCCCTTTCCACTTCTTTCGCGTGTTCCCCACCTATGGTTGAATTGGTTTCGGAGATATTCAGAAGTGTCTCAAACACCCCTTTTCTAGCGAATGGAATAATGCCGCCATCACACCTTAAAGGTACTGGAACTATCAAAACACATTTCTAATTTTTGTGAGTCACTAAATGGGCAAAACATTCAGAACCCAACAAGCAGTTTTACGCCACAACGGACCTCGAACACCTGCAATCTTGCAATTGAAAGCCCACCTTTGAGGCTCGCCTCCCGTGGTAACGCTACGAACTCGTAGGCATAATTTGCTTGATTGTTGAAGTGACGTAATGGGGGGTTTGAGTTATTGCTGTCATTCAGTTCATTTATAAATTCAAAATGTGAGTGAACATTACTAGCATCTATTAATCACCTGCACTTGAAATCACCATGGCTTGGAGGCATTTGATGTCGGCGGAATTTAAGGCGGAATTTAATTTAATTCAAGGCGGAATGGTCACACTGTGGTAAAGCCATCGTGCTCATGTTGTGGCTTAAACTTAGCAGATGAACCCTTAAAGCAAACTTCTGCTTAAAGCAAGTGTAGTAAACCAGCCAGGGGAACCGCACGGTGGTGAATGTAAAAAAAATGAATTTATTAAGGTGTTGATTTGCCTTTGTCCCTTTTGGGGTGTTCCTACGGCCCTCAATTTGGTGGAAATATTTTAGCAAGTGGTACTACCCGGTGAACCTGACCGCTTTTCACCACCCTCTCGTGTTAAATCAACAGTGCCAAACATTATCTGGCTTTCGAAGTTCTAGTGACCCTGGCGTAAAACGCAAAATGGACGGTGTGTTTTCACTGGCCCGTTTACATCAACTTACCCTGGCACGTATCTTGTTTACGGGCCGTCATGCCCAGCGCTTTAGACCAATTCCTAGGAGGCCCAGGGTTACGGGCTGCATGCCATGTGGTTGTCTGTGACCTCAAATTGCTACCTCAGACAGACACAAGAAAATCGCCACATAATCGTATGAATGCGTAGATTCTCCAATATGGCGGGCACACACAGCACGCACGCACGCACGCACGCACGCACGTGGAAACAAGCACACACACACACACACACACACACACACACACACACACACACACACATATATATATATATATATATATATATATATATATATATATATATATATATATATATATGTACATTTGTTTATATATGAATGCATATATATATATATATATATATATATATGTGTATAAATATATATACATATATATATATATATATATATATATATATATATATATATATATATAAATCCGCTGTTTCGAACCGTAGCCAGTTCGAAACAGCGGATTTTTCGATGGTGTTGAAAGTCAGGCATGTGTATTTTCCGCATTGTGCAATTACTCTCACTTAAACGAAAAAGCAGACCTCGCAGAGCTCGCACAACTCATACAGCAGCTCGCAGAGCTCTGGCCTTTCCCCAAAGACCATTGTGGCAATGTGCTTGATTTCACAGGAAGGCTCGCTGTGCTCATGCATCACCTGTTGCGTTCCAGCTTCATGTCAGCCATCACGCTGCTGGGCACGCCGGCCGAGGTGTACCAGTACGGCACCCAGTACTGGGTCATCGCCTTCTCCTATCTGATCGTGACGCCGGCTGCCGCCTACCTGTACATGCCTGTTTTCTTTGACCTCCAGCTGATCTCGGTCTACGAGGCGAGTCTGTGCGGGGTTGAGATATTCCGAGAGAAACGATGGTCGGTTAGTGAGTATGCGACCGTGGCATTCAGCGGTGTTTTAGTTGAGCGCCTGGAACAGTAACAACGAATACATGGTCGCCTGGTCACCTGGTCTACGAGGCGAGTCTGTGCGGGGTTAAGATGCTCCGAGAGAAACGATGGTCGGCTAGTGAGTATGCGACCGTGGCATTCAACGGTGTTTTAGTTGAGCGCCTGGAACACTAACAACGAATTCATGGTCGCCTGGTCACCTGGTCTACGAGGCGAGTCTGTGCAGGGTTGAAACGCTCCGAGAGAAACGATGATCGGCTAGATAGTATGTGACTAAGACATTCAGTGGTGTGTTAATTGAACGCCTAGAACACTGACAACGAATTCATGGGCTCTGCCATCGTTGTTAGGCTCAACGCGTCGCCAGTGCACTTGAACGGGCTCCTATGCTTCAGTAAGATGCGTCGATAATGGGTGAACTTATGCATTCATGTAGCAAACGGGCTCATACTAACACACACCAGGCATGCGTGCGACGACACTGTGTCCTAGCACTATGTCCGAATGTCCTTCTCTAGCAATGACGCCCATCAGAAGACAGACACGCATACGTGGTTTATCAGATACCTCTTTATGATGATAAAGAACAGGCACGAAGTCCAAACGGTGACTCGTTTAATCTCCTCGTCCGTTGCCGAACACTGCATCGAGTATTGTTGTATGTTACGGATGTATGTACCCTTTGAACCCGAAGCAGCATGATCTAGTGTTGTAGCGGTTCATGACTCAGAAAGCCCAGTACCAGTTATCAGCACACTATGATGTTTGATTCTACTCCAGCAAAATCAATTCTATTCTTCCATTCATATCGTTTGATTGTGCTCCTTCTGACGAAGCAATGAGCACAGCACGATTTGGCTTAATCCGGTCCCATCAGAGCCGCGCGTGACATGCGATATGCAAGCAGCACAGGCGGAAAGCACAGCAGCTGGCGAGCAGCCGCGCCAGACTCGCCGTCGATTATCCCAGTTTGTGGAAGTGGTACCCGACGGCGGGGCCTTCCAGCGGGCCCAGGGCTCAGAGCTGCTCAACACTGACTAAGCCCCGTGCTCGCTGTGGCCCGCCGCGCTGTTCAGGTGGCGGGGGCACGGGGCTCGCCGTCGAATCGCCGCCACGCAGCGCCGCTAATGTCCGTCGTCCCCGTTCGCAGTATCTGGAGAGACGCTTCCACCGCAGGGTCCGCGTCACCGGCGCCTGTCTCTTCTGCATTCAGATGGTAACGGTCGGACGCCGCGGGCGCCGGACGCGCTGGCCCAGCGCTGCTCTCAGTGGCGCGTCGGCACACGGCGGAGTGTAAACATGTATCGTCTCGACCACCCAGCCCGACCCCGCGCTGGCGCACGCTCGTGAGCGAGCCCGGCAGACGCGTCGCTCATGGACGCTGTTTTCACTGGACGGCTGGGTCGCGTGATGGTCATGCCGTACCGGTCAGATTTCGTGTCGGATGGTGGGCGTCGACCGCGCTCGACCGGTGGATTGCGGGTTTCGGCAGCAGACATCGTGACCCAAGGCAAAGGGTGCCGGTCGAGCGAGTCTCGTGCTGCTGACCGCACTGATTTCGCCTGCAAGGAGAAGGGAATTCGGCGGGGCGGATGCAAACACATGTGCTTCAAGTATTTTCCAAAGTTGCTGCTGTGTGGGCCCACACGAGCATACATGTACGTGATCACCGCGGTTGTAAATGAGAGCTTGACCAGGACTTCGCGCCCGGCTGAGGAGCGCGCCATGGCTACTCGATCGTCTGACATCAGCGGTTGTTTTCTGTCTTCAGAGCATCTATATGGCCATCGTCGTATACGCACCATCCCTTGCACTGGCACAAGGTGAAGAAATGTTTCTCGGTCTTCCTAGCCAACGCTTCCTCATGTTGCGGTCTCACTATTATGCATCTGTGTGTCCTCGCTTCTCATGTGCATAATGTGCTATCTTGTCCGCATTGTGCATCATATCGTCAACCAAATGTACGCATGCTCTATTCCCTCCTTTATGTTCTCCGTTACCAGTAGCTAACGACAGAACAGCCGCAGATGTTCACTTCCTTGCGCTCTTTTCACAGTGACCGGTGTCAATGTCTACCTGTCCGTCTGTCTGATCTTCTTCGTTTGCATCTTCTACACAGCTCTGGTGAGGGCTGCCAGATAAGAGCTTTGGAGCATGGATGTAGCGACCAGTTTTACAAGTAGTCGGGGTATTAATTGATGCAAAATATTGGCGCACCGGCAATAGTTACCTTTGCTATCGCCATATCAATTTGTGTTGTCTGTTGACAGGAAAATACGCTTTGTATCGACCGATTAATTCAGTTCGGCCAAAAATGCTGCGAAAATGCAACAAAATGATCATGCGCATATGCCTGTAACTTTCGTTCCGTGTATCTTGTGATATGCATCACAATACCGAAAAATTTGATGAAGTTTGAGGTAGTGGTGTGCGAAAAATCTTCATTCATTATCACGTTCGTCTTCTGCTGCCCTGCAGGGAGGCATCAAGGCTGTTCTTTGGACGGACACCATTCAGATGGCCATCATGTTCGCCTCGATGCTGGCCATCATCATCAAGGGATCATACGATGTTGGCGGATTCGATGTTGTCTGGGAGAGAGCTGTTGAAGGAAACCGCATCGAGTTCTTCAAGTGAGGTCACAGCGTACGAAGTAACTACGTTGCAGACATATTTCCTGGGCGTTTACACGTGTTGCGGGTGTTTGCATCCCCTCACGTGACTCCCGACTTACCAGCGCTCTCATCTGACCAAGGTGACCGTGAGGGCGCAGCTCTGGACCACAGAGTGGACCGGGCGACTCAGGACCTCACCGCGGAGGGCACAGCTCTGGCTGTCCTTTTCAGAGCTTACAGCTACGACAGCTAGATGTGCTGAAGAAAAACCCGATCAACATTCGGTCGGATCAACCTCTCTGTCCAACGCGGCCGTCTTCTCCTGAATAATCTGTTCATTGAGATGCACCGCCTAAAAAGGGTGGCCTAAAACCGTGACAGATAAAACCGACATGTGCTAAATTAATTGCAACGTTTTTGTCCCACCATTGACCCTCGCCCATTTTCCCATCACCAGTCTGAGGTGGCGGCGATGCGGCGCACTTTTTATTGCTTTAGTAGCACATTTGCATAAAAGCAATTTTGCGTCTCTCCGACTTATGAGAGGCACCCGTAGCGGCGCCAAGCCCTGCATCAGATAAGTGATCCCGTGGCTTTTCAACTGCTCTCTGGCATACACGACGAAGCGACGAACCAATCAGACCCACGCCGTCACGTTATAATTAGGCAGCTTGACATGCCAGGTTGTCTACATCAGCCGCGCAGAGCACAGCATGCTGATTGAAACGCTGCCCTACGCGCGCAAGCAGACGTGCAAATAATTGTCGCGGCATGTTCAGGCGATGAGAAGTCTCCGACACACTGAGCTCATCATAGCTGACCAAGCTTCAGACCAAGGACGCCCAGGGTATCAGGCAAAGCATGTGCTCACCGAGACCACGCTTGCCGAGCCAAGGTCATTTGAGAGCTCCTTTTGAATGCGTATTGGCGCGCGCCTGCATGTGGCAGATATGCATGGCTGTGCCCCGAGGTTCGAGTACATGCTGCTAATGCACATGGAGCGGCTTGTACGGCCCGGCAAGGGGACAGCCGGGCACGTCTTTATTCAGTGACGCGAGACGTCGTCCCTGGCCCAGAATGGGTCGCTCCCCGGCCGCGAGGTGATAACGATGGAAGCGCGATATAGCGGGATTGCAGACGGATTTCTCGTGAAAGTTTCACATCAACCTGCGCTGATGCATTGATAAATTGAACGGTTTACCTAGCCGCCTTATTAGGACGCTTCTATGTCCTCAGCCCCTGGAAAAGATCAGCGCGGTTTTATTGCATACAGTTATGCAAAACCGCCCGACAAACTCGGTGGCCCCTGTGCTCACCAGACGTAAGACTGGACACGACAAATAGATATCAGGTCCCCTCAGATTGTATCACAATGTTCATGAGTGAACCTTGGGTTCAGAATAACTTCCACCAAAATGGTATCTGGACCGCGCCAGATCCTTCCGTATGCGCGTCAGTTAGGATGGACCCAGGGCATGCTCGGCAAAATGCAACGGAAGACTGCATTTCGGGACGCCTTTCACTAAACTTAGAAATGAAATCGGGATTCAAGGACGTGTCGGTATCTTGGAATGGTAACTGCAATCCATTTTGGCCGATCAGGACTCATTCGTCCCCGGGTACGTTGCAAACTTGCCAAGAATCAGGTGTGCATGACAACAACCAGAGCCATTCGCGGAGCTCTGAAACCCGACTGAGGGGCCTGGTTTTTAGACACAGAGCTTGATGCAATGCACTGGTGATGTGTGGGATGCATGGAATGTATTAAATTATGTAAACGACATCAGAGGCTTGACTTCAGGACAGACATGTGGCAAAGGTGTTACAACTCTGGTAGCTTCTTGCCGTATGAAGGTTTGCGTTTGGAACTGAAAAGGCTGAGCGCAACGACAATTTATGCAGATCGGCTTACTAAGATATATTCTGTGCGCTCCCTCCGACGACATATCCGGAACGAACACGTTACCACACAAAAAACGCGATGACTCAGACCGATTACGCCGAAATGATGGACCGTACTTCTGACTGCAGTGTGCCGCCCTGCCGAACTTAGAAGATATTTGAGCCTCAAGTCAGTGCGGATGCATGATCCGAAACAATCCCAAGACCAAGGATGAAGCTTAGCATTGAACCTCGTGCATTGTAGCATCCAGGGCTCAGGATCCAGGCGCCGAGGTCCGTTTCTGGGATCCAGCACCCATTCGGTATCCACTCGCCGCCTGTCATGTACCCTCCGTCGGGCGCATATTGCCGCACGACTACACGGCTCTACAAAACCTCGGCTAGCGCCCTGATGCAGGCTTCTGCCATCACGTCCAGGCAGCTATGTGGCTGCTTTAGTCGTCCGGTTTCAATTGCCTCCGTTATTTCAATGATGTCCCATCATAGCAGGTCGCACGTCCACCGAGGCTGACAAAGGCCCTGTAAGTGGGTAAGTGGCTTCAGGGCTTCCGCTGGTTGTCTGGGTGGCTATCAATGCACCGAGCAGATGTCCACAGCTTCCGGATGGATGGTGTTAGAGCTACTGCGTCACCAACGGCGCTTGATGGCAGGGAAGAACTCTGAGCTCTCATCCGACTTCCGACAACGCCCCGGGAAAAGGGGAGGAGGGGGATGGAAGGGTCCCGAGTCGTCAGGTTTCCTGACTGTAACTGAGTTCCACGATTTGGATAAGATTTGTCATGCGGATTACGGGTGTCCTGTTGGGCTGATGTGTGACACCGTGAATGTTTTAATCGCCTGCGAGTATCACAGCATAAGCATCAGCAGGACCGCGGTGACCCGAATGTTGTGACTATGCCGCAGCTTCAACACCAGTCCAGGAGTGCGGCACACAGTCTGGACTCTGGTGGTGGGCGGCTACTTCACCTGGATCACCATCTACGGCGTGAACCAGGCGCAGGTCCAACGCTACCTCTGCGTGCCCACTAAGCGGCGCGCCGCCAAGTGAGGAGGCGTCATTGGCAGAGAACAGCTGGACTGCGTAGGGCGATGTCACCCGTACTAATGAGGCAACGGGCGGTCACCATCAGCGTGTCACTTTGGTGCTAACTTTTTGATGGCCCCTCTGCCACTTGTGTTTCTGCACCCTACACGCGCAGTTTTCATTTGTTCGTTTGTCCTTGCCATTCTTGTGATGGTGTCGCTTGCGGTAACAAGGACACCGTAGCATTGTTGACGGTGCTTGATTTTACACTTTACACCATGCAGTTATGTTGAATCCGTCTTCAACAGGAGGTGGGGGGGGGGGGGGGGGGGGGGGGAGGCACGTTTATAGAAACAGACTCAAAGATTTGTGACTAAAAACTACCTGAGCCAAAACTTTTCGCTGTGAAGGGATGTTGAATGATGGCTGTTACCTTACTCCAGATGGCGTAACAGGTTTTTATTGGCATTTAATAAGTACATAAACAAAACAGTTCCACAAGCCCAAAGCTTTTCGAGAACAACCAAATCACTAAGCGACCCCGACGAAGTGGTCCTGTTCCTGCCGCCATCTACCCCACTCACCCCGTGTCGGCAGCGCCATCTGGTTGAATCTGGCGGGCCTGTTGTTCCTGCTGACCGTGTGTAGCTACGCTGGTCTGGTCATCTACGCCCGCTACCGGCTGTGCGACCCGCTGAGCTCAGGGAGCGTGAGCACGGCCGACCAGCTGTTCCCGCTGTTTGTGATGGATACGCTTGGCGAGACGCCGGGAGTGCCAGGGCTCTTTGTGGCCGGGATCTTCAGTGGTGCTCTCAGGTGAGGGGAGATGGGGACGGTGCCAGCGGTGCTCTCGGGTGAGGGGAGATGGTGCCGGTGCCGGTGGTGCTCTCGGGTGAGGGGAGATGTAGATGGTACCAGTGGTGCTCTCGGATGAGGAGAGACAGGGATGGTGGTGCTCTCAGGCTAGAGTGGTGGGCGCGGTGCTCCCGGGTAAGAATATCTGGACGGTGGTGCTGTCGGGTGAGAATATCTGGACGGTGGTCCTCTCAGGTGAAAAGACATGGACAGTGTTGCTCTTAGGCGTGGAGAAATAGTCGAAGGCGCTCTCAGGCGGGGAGCTGGGTAGTGGTGCTGTCAGGCGGTGAGAATGGTTGGTGTATGCTAACATGTCGACAACAAGACCATTTTGTTCTGGCGAACAGGTTTACTGCCAGGTGGGAGCTGTAGATGATGTTATATCCTAACGGTGTTGTGTTTTCTTCCTGGCTGTAAATTTGTGGTATCCCCGTAATGACCACAGCACAGATGGATGGGTGCCGCACTGTTTTTGGCTTCAATGCAAGCCAGAAGTCCTGGTACCGGCGATGCTCAGGCATCACCGATATCACAAAAGTGCTACCTTTACTGAAAGCACCTGCATGGTACAGGCGCATTTGTAATCAATATATATATATATATTGATGTACAAAAGCTTGGTGTATATATACATATATATATATGTATATATATGTATATATATATATATACATATATAAATATATATATATATATATATACCAAACTATATGTATATACACTATAAGGTATGTATGAGTGTCATGTATGTGTTCATTTACTAAACATATAACCCTTAACCATTCACCAGCTTGTCGAAATGCAAAACGTCTTAATGGCCTTCCGTGCCCCTATCTTCCCGTGTCCTACAGCTTGTCGTCAAGCAATGAGTTTAAAGATGTCAAGCAATCTATCCAGCCGAAGGGTCTGCTAACCTCTTTAGATGTTGAAAATCTCTTTTTACAAACGTGCTCATTGAAAGAGCCATATTTATCGTCCTCGACCGCGTGTACAATCATCCCGAAATTCCCGCTCTTAAAATCTCAAGGCGCCTTTTTGAACAAGTACTAGAAGCCTGTACGCTGGAAGTTTCTTTTCGTGGGCCTAGTGGACGAATGTATTGCCAAACTGAGGGTGTTGCGATGGGCTTTCCTCCTGGACATTTATTTGCCAAGTTTTTATGGGACATATAGAAGTCGACTCACTACCAAATGGCAACATAAGGCCGCACATTTGCTGACGCTATGTATAAGATACCTTTGCGGAGGTTATGGGCACTGACTAACTACAACGTCTCAAAAATGTCTTGGGAGAGAAATCTGATTTAAACTTCACAGCAAATTACGTGTGCAAAAATTAATACCCTTTCTTGATGTCAATGTTGACGAACAAAGACAGCGATATAAAACAACTGTACACCGGAAGCAGACTAACAACGGACGGTGCGTAAATGCTGACATTGAATGTCCTCGACGCTACAAAACTAGTTTCATAAGGTCATTCCTTAGACATGTATTTAACCATTGCTCTGATTGGACAGTGTTACATTTGGAGTCGGTGCGAATCACCCAGTTCTTGGAAAAAACCGTTGTTTTTTTCAAATTCCGATGTTGGAAACGCATCACAGTGACAAATAACAAGGCACTTTAACAAGAAACTAAGACAAATAGACAAGACAGACAATCAACTGTCCAACTGTATTATCAAAATCAAATGACATCTGCCATTTGCCACATCTGCCACAAGAAGAAAAAGCTCTACAGGAAATGATCTCTCAACATGTGAAAGGCAAGAACGACCTCAAAATAGACATTGCCATTTATTATCGCATTATAAAAGGGTCTAACTTTCTTATGAGAAACATCCGGGACAAACCTGACAAACTTAAGTGTATCAATGTAGTGTATCAATTGAAATGTCATCTTGAAGGCTGCAAATTTCGCTCCATACACTACGCTAGCGTAACCACGACACTCTCACGACGCCTGGCAATGCACTTACGTGACGGGGCATCTCTGGAGCACATGTGACTCGAACATGACAGAACATTGACACAACAACAACGGATGTACAACGCTGACATTCTTCAGGCGTGCATTGACAGAAGTCGTCTTCAAATGTGGGAAAGCGTGTTTGTTAACGAACTCTCTCCAGCCCCAAACAAGCTAACACATATACAACCCTTAAGTTCTTAGATGGCGAGCGATACATACTTACGATGTATTTGTGGCCATGTGTCTTTGTAGTGTTCCGTTATTCGTGCATTGTATATGCATCAAAGTAGCAATAAGATCTTGCCTTATTTCAATTTGGTATTCCTTCACATGTCTCCTCGGGACTAAACATGTTCTCCAGGTAGTGACGCACAATTTACATCCTTAAAAGTCTAAAGCTGTTTTCTTGTGCCATTTATATCTATCGGACGATGAACTAAGATCTCAAAACGTAAGGATGTACACATTGACGAATATAAGAGTGATTTTGTGCGAACTATCTTTGATCCTAACGACATCGCTAAGTCAAAAGCCCGGAAGCTGAATAGATACATAAAAAAGCTCGTCACTGCTGAGTCAAAGGCGTTTTTAAATCAGACATGCATAAAGAAGATGTTCTGCCAAAATATACCGATATATATTATATATAATCTAGGCAATATATATAGATATATATATATATATTATATATATATATATATATAGATATATATATATATATATATATATTAGTGTCTTCGGCAGACACCAGCGGTGCACTAATGGAGCGGGATGGTTAACGGGCCATTTATACATGTTATATGTAACTATTTGATGCCAGGAGCCTTTGGCTTGCTTCTTTCTGCTCATTACTTTCGCCGCACGTTCCAAGGGTGATCTGCCTGCCAAACGACGTTTCCCCAGTTGGCTGGGACCTGCCATGTCGTCGCATCTACTGAAATATTGGAATTTTTCGCATAATGACATGATTAGATTTCTTCTCACCATCCCATATTTTACGTCAGCTGTAGACTTCCAGGAAATGCCTATCATTACAACTTCAAAATTCTTACGTGGCTCAGCGTGGGCCAAAAACCCGAGCAACACGCTGGCAGCTGAGAAGTGAGAGGTACTGACGTCCAGCCTAACAGACCGCTAGGAAATCGCCATGCAATGTGCTACCTATTTCTTGAATCCCTTTTACGACTGTCCGCTGGCTTGCGACTCGGCACGACCCAGTGTCGTCTGCGCACGTGACCTGAAGTTTCTGTCAGCACCGTGAGCTCCGGGATCAACTCGCTAGCGGCCATCACCATGGAGGACTTCATCATGCCCAGCGTCAGCAGGCCGCTGACGGCTCAGATGCAGACCATCATCTCTCGCGCCCTGGCCGTCGCCTTCGGTGGGTTTGTCTTGTTCGGCATCACTCTTGTGTGTGAAACAGATGCTGCGCTCCAATCCCTGCCGTGTGTCGTAGCGTTGGCTCGATTTCAAGCGTCGTGGCGTTTATTTGGGTCGTATGTGGTGCAATGAAGGTGTCATGCACATTACGTACCATTATATTATTAGCATCCATACATTGGTGATTGAATCAGGTGAAAATAAGGCGGCATAACTTTATTATACAGAGCTGCTGTTCTAGCAATTAGTGCTGGCTTTCAACTACTTCTTCCCAATACTCGTGCCTCAGAGCAATGATAGGACTTCCCTTCCTGTTGTGCCATGCGCTATCGCCTTGTCATCTTGCCACGTTTTATTCCTCTCCTTTTGACCGCAGGTGTGTTGGGATTTCTACTGGTGTTTATTGCTGAACAGCTTGGAGACATCTTACAGGTAATGACAAGAACCGACGAATCGAGCGGAAACGAATGGAGATAGTGGGGCGTGCAACATGCAACGTAAGCATTTGTGGATTCATACAAAGTTCTTAAATTACATATAAAATGTAAAGTAATAGCGACAAAGATGACATCAAATTCCAAACCGGTATTCCTACACATGTTGGCTGCAACGTAATCGTATATGACTAGTCGACTATGAATCAAATTCAAGTGATAACTATCGTTCACTATTTGCCCGCTCCGGATTTCTGCTGACAGCATGTTAGGCTGGATTTATTCTTAACATCAGGGCAGGCTGAGCTATCGCTAGGCCAGGTTATGTTGAGACTTCGATAGAGGTTATGTTCGGCCCGAAACTGCTAACCTCAGTCAGGCACCTGCTGACCTACGGCGCGTGTGTGCGCCTGTTTCAGGCGGCTCTCAGCATATACGGCATGGTTGGGGGACCGGTTCTCGGAGTGTTCACTCTGGGATTGTTCTTCCCTTGGGCCAACCACATTGTGAGTGATCCTTTGGTGTAGCACCTTATTGTGCAAACGCATACATACCTCGGTCGTCATTGCCTGCATCATTTCCGACAACTGTTCAAATGATTTTCCATGATCCAAATGTATCCCTGTATTCAAATCAGAGGGATGTTCGGCAATTTATGAAATCGCTGCGCTGCATACAAATCGAGTGTGCCCGCTTGACGTCATTTAGCTTCAACTCCTGCCGCTATAGGGCGTACGTGACACGAGTGTCGGCGCTGGCAGCGGAAGGCTCTGCCCTCTAGCCTGACCTGTCCGCATCAGCAGTGCGCATACCCGCACTCAGCCCGCCTGACGCCGCCGCAGGGCGCCATGTCGGGCATTTTCTCTGCCTTGCTCGTCATCTTCTGGATCGGAATCGGAGTGCAGGTGGAGAAGGCGAAGGGCCACATCCACATCCCGAAGCTGGAGACCTCGGTGGCAGGCTGTCCACGCTACAACGTCTCGTACGTCGACCTGTCCCCGTCAGCAGCTCCTCCGACCCTCAACAGCAGTCTCCTCGACACGCCAGAACGGTGAGAGCGCCCTGTGGCCGAGCTTACCACTATGGCTGACTGGAACCTGGCGATGACAGCTCCTCGTGACGCTCAGTGACAATGGCACCGACGGATTAAACGGTAAGTAGTCGTCTGGGTGAAAACGCACGACTCAGCGACAGTCGGTATCGTCAGCGGGAGTCCAGCTCGTCGCCCAGAATAGCAGAGATAAAAACTTGCCCGCTTCTACAAAACACAAATGACTTGATCTATCTCTTTAACCTTCACGCTGACAAGCCGTTGCTCATAACGCAGACCGATAGATGGGGGGGGGGGGGAGGGGGGAAGTGCGACCCCCACTCCTGCTTTTCAAACTTGACGATTGAAATAAGCGGAATACCAGTGGATTGGTCTCCACGAGATCTCGCGATTATTGCTAGCTTTCTTGTTGGTCTATAATTGACCCATTATGGCGGGTCAAAGATCGAATTTTCCAGAAACTCGTACTCTTCAGCTTACATCATGCTAACTAAACCAGAAAAGCAGGAACTTGTTTCAGGCGTTAAACACGGGCAATAAATGCTCCATCGGTTACCGAAAAGGTGGACGCCATTGCAACATATGTCAAAGAGGTATCCTCAGAAACATTATTGGAGGATCCCCTTGTCAGGGCGGGCGTGATTTGTAGCCAGAAAAAGGAAGCCGAGTAATAAAAGTGCAACTTGATGGCTTTTATGTTCGAGTGTATTCTACCCCGCCGGAACGTTTTTTTTTTTTGGAGGGGAATCAAACCGACTTCTTTTCTGTCAGACGATAACACCCAAAAAGGAGAATGCTTTCAAATTTCCTAACATGTATACAACTGGAAAAGTGAGTGTGGAGGACCCCCCTGCCCCATATACTTAATTCTACCATGATCTTGTATGGTCTAGGTAGCCATATTGTACCAAAAATTGCCAAAAAATGCATTACTTGCATGAATCAAGACACCACGTAATCACACATGATATGGGTTGCTTTCCATCGAACACAAACTCAATCCACCTAATATAAATTACTTTTAAGCGATAAGAGCAAATGCTACAAGCCATTGCAAATATACCACCAAGATCTTAGGCCTGAAGACATCCTGCCCTTGCACCAAATGGGGAGATCCTATCCCCAATTTAAGGCTCTGCTTTACCCACCATGCACCAATACAGGACCCATCATACAACTTAGATCACTTGGAACACATCCACAAAATTCTCCAAACTAAAAACGCAAAAATGCTCCTGAAATTTACATTCTTTGTGCACTGTTGGGAATATTTTTTCAAAAGACGTTTTCAAATGTGCACATTTGAATGCATCAGGCATATGTTAGAATGCACTGTGATTTGCACAACGATGATAATAACGTCTGTATATACTTTTTCGTTAATGTAAGATGCGTCTAAATTTCTTTTCATCAATTATACTTTTCACTGGAATGCTCCAAAACCAATAAACAAAGCTGATCCACAAGCTCAGCTTGACGGCTACGTGACCTCGTGTGAGTTTTATATTATGAGTTAACATCATCAGTGAGCAGTCCATGTTAAACGCCGAGGAGACGACGCAGTAATGGCGAGGATCATTTTGATAACTGAACTGAAATGACCATTCAGAAAATCGGCAGATGTTGAAGCACCAACTTGTCACCAACTGTCTCCCCACACGGCAGCGCTGCTTGCAAAAAGGTATAAGCCCTGAAGCATATAATTTCTATTTTAGTGCTGTAATGCGCGCAATTTCATCGCAATCGACGTTTCGCGAAAGAGTATGTCAAATCGAACTTTGAACAGTGGGAGCGTTTGAGTCTCCTTTCATGAACGACTGGTGTTCATACGAGTCCCCACGCTCGTGGGCACTTAGACGCATTTTTAACCTCTGTAGTCTATCATCCAATCACCGGCTCCACATTCTCCCACAGCCGGTTCAGCTCCACATTCAGCCGGGTTTCTTGCCGAAGTACATTTTGATCGGGCCAATAGCAGAGAAACACTGTGGGTACAATCACAGCAAAACAAGGAC